ATTCAACGAACGAGAGAGCGGAGTGGGATCGGAGGTACCAGTATCCGAGGTCGAACTCACACTGCCGATGCAGAGCGAGATCGAAGAAGAAGACTACCAAGATGCAGAAGAAGGTAACGGAGCTGTCGTCGGTAACGCAGGAGTCGACGATGTCCCCCCCGTGGAGCGCCACCTTGTCGTGGTGGGGGGGCTTAGGCGGGCGATCGGCCGGGAGCCGTCCGTGTGCCGTTCTAGGCTCCGGCGGTTCCTTGGGTCGGTCGTCCGCTGACCAAGAGCGCTCCGCTAGACCCTCCGTAACTCATTGCACGCCGGTGTTCCGGCAGAGTTGCGGGGGGTGGCTCTCCCGTCGCTGGGCTGGACGTGGTCCTGTCTCGGCGGCGGGGGAGGGTCCGACCCTGGCGGCGTAACCGTACGTGGTGCGGGTCGCTGGGTGGGCGGACAGTGAGGGGCTGGGCCCACAGTTATGTGGGCCTAGCAACGGACAACGCGGGTCGGTACCCCCTGTGTCTCGGGGCGACGTCCTTTTTAGGACGTGCGTCCTGGCATGGGGGGCCGACTCCGCCCGTCCGCAACGAGGTGACGGGCTGCCGGGGCCGCTCGGACGTTTCCGAGGCGGGGCTCGGTGGCCCGGGGCCCTCCGGAGCCGCTGGGACGTATTCCCAGGCGGGGTCCGGGGGGCCGGAGGCGGGGGGCTGTCGCTGGGGTCGGGGGTGTCTTTCTCCCCTGGCTTGCGGTGGCAGTCTCTCGGACGAAGGGGCCTTCGAGGGAGTGACGTCCCTCGTTGTCCCCAGCCGGGGGGACTCCTGCGATGGCCCCCGCGTTCTAGTGGGGGTCTGCCCTAGCGAGAGAAGCGTGCAGGCCGGTCGCCGCGGCGGGCAAGGTGAAGGGGGGACGGGCCTCCCCTGACACCCCATCCGTCCGCGGGGTCCCCCGCGTGGCGGCACCGCTGCAGTACCCAAGGAGTCGGAGACTTGGGAACCCTGAAAACCCCCACGCACTGAGCGTGGGGACGTGTAGGGGGCTGGAGGCCAGTGCCGGGGTGCGGTATTCCCCCCGGCTCGTGCCATATCCCAACTCCCCGGGAGGACTCGGGGCCTCCCAGTTTCTGGGAGGGGGGCATGCCCTGGTTGGGGAAGCTGCAGCGGATAGTGGGATGAAACCGAAATGGCGAGCAACAACAAACCCAAGGAGACCAAAGACCCCAAGCCTTCGACCTCGGCGAAGGGGAAGAAGGGTGGGGGTGAGACCGGGAGTGGGACGGCGGCTGCGGTTGGAAGGAAAGAGGCCGACCGGATCCTCTCGGCTGAGGAGGCGGAGGAAGGATGGGTGGAATGGGTGCCGGCGTTCGAGGAACGCGTCATCCGACACACAGGGGGATCGTGCGCCCGAATGTATGAAGAGTGGCGGGGCCTCTCCCCTTTGGAGGCGGGAGGGAGGATCCTCGCGCAGGCGGAAGATTGGAAGGCGTACACCCTTGACGAGGACGGCGAGGATTGGTGGAGGGAGTTGCCTCCAGCTTGCAGTGATGCCAGAATGGTCGCGCTTTTTAGCGCATGCGCGTCGATTTGAGGCTCACTGAAGTACCTACTACGGACAAATAGGTGTATCGCTAGTCGCCCGTAAGAAATTTTCTTAAAGAAAATTCTAAATGATAATTTTTTACCGGCGGTAGACCGTTTTAACAACGACACATCTTTCTGTCTGCATATAACTATACTACATATACATATTAATATATAAAAAAACATCTATCCTTCTGCACGACGACGGCCGACGAGTTCAGACAGGTCTTGCGCCCATTATACCAATACTGACACGCCACTGGATATCTGCCATTTCTACTGCTCATGCGCTAAAAAGCGCGACCATTCTGGCATCACTGACACCAAGGAGGACCTCGACGCCTTCGTCAAGGAGGTGAGTGTGGGGGCCTACCACCTGGCCCACGAGTGGGAGGGCGCGATAAAGAGGGCGGAGGGGCTTCAGGAGGAAAACTCCTACTTGAAGGCCCTTATAGCTGAGTCGGTGGCGACTTTTGAGGAGGACCGGAAAGCCTCCAGGGATGAGCAGAGGGCCCTGGAGGTGCAGGTTGATCAGCTGACGGCCCAACTGGAGGAGTTGAAGAGGGATTCCTCCCTCTTGGCGAAGGCGAAGCCCGTCGGGAGGGAGGTGTCCACCCAGACGGCGGAGGAGAGTGCCCCGAACACCGGTGGTATTTCTCTGGAGCCGCTAGAGGAGGAGGCGGGGATGCCGGGCTGGGTGAAGGGCCTCAGGAGTGAGGTCTCCCGGAGTATGGGCGCCCTTGCCATGCGGATGGAGGCATTGGAGAGGCGGTTGGAGGTGCCTACCGCCCCGAAAAGCGGAGAAAGGAGGCCCTCTAGCGAGAAGACGAAGGAGACAGATAAGGGCGGGAATCAAACTCCTGCCCTTCCGGCTTCTAAAAAACCGGAGAGAGGAAAGAGGGCGAGACAGCTTCCGGCGGGAGGAGGTAGCCAGACGGCTTTTTTTTTTACGGAAAGGGGAAAAATGCTTTATGCATTCAACACGGGGCAGCCGAACCCCGTGGATATGCCCGGACTCCCCGTGAAGCGGGATACCAGGCTAAAAAACCCCTCTCTTGGACCATCCTCCGCACTATAGGAGAGTCACCCCGGCAGACCCGTCGAGGGCATTACGTCGGAAGTGACCCGCCCAACAGTGACAGGCTTTATAGCCTCCGGCCACAGGCGGCTTACGACACGCCCACCGTCCTAACCATTCACGCATATATACATGTATTCATACGTACATATTCTCACCAGATGTAAACATACTCATTCATACTTCTCTCCTTGTTAGGACGGCGGAGTGGGGTGGTCCACACGACAATAGGCACTCTAGCCAGATGGTAAAAAGTAAGTAACTCCCTTAGAGCAAAGGGCTAGGTGCCTCCCCCCCTTTTAAGACGACCACATACCTGCTACTGTATTACTTATTTACTTATTTACTATACACTTATTACACTACCCATCTATATACACTATGTACACACAAGCAGGACCGACAAGGTGCGACAGGAGTAACAGGAAAATCCCACCACTATACCGTTACAAAGGTCGCCCGTCCTTAGGACGCTAATGCATTTAACTAAATTGCATTGCGTGTATGTATGCAGGCCACGCAAACCTCCCGCGCAGCCTACTCTCTCACTACTAGGGTGCGTACCCAGGCCTACACCTGGAGTATGTGTAAGCAAACAATCGCAATGATATAATATATACAATCGTATCTACAATTACGCGCGATCTAAAATAAGTCCTCTATCGCCGCTAGCTCACCTCCCTCGTTGGCCTCTCGGGCCCGCTCAGCATCTTCTTTCGCCAACATGACCGTCGAGCAAAACTTCGAGAAGGCGGCCCACTTCTCCTTGCGCAGTAAAATTGCCTCCACCACCAGGGTTAACGAGAGCTCCCGGACACCCAGGGCCGCCAGCAGCTCCTCTCTCTCAAAATCCCAGGCCGAGCATTCGGCCAGGGTGTGCAATGCAGAGTCCTCAGCTCCTCCGCAATGCGGGCAAAACGGGTCGTTGGTTTTGCCAATCTTGAACAGGAAAGCTCCAAAACACCCGTGGCCCGTCAGAATTTGGGTAAGGTGAAAATGGGTCCTCCCCCATTGTCGGTCCATCCACGCTGTCCAGGCCGGAACAATGGCCGATCTCGTCCACGCTCCAGGTAGGTCCCCGCCGTCCATGTGCATCCGCCATTGCCTCATAGTGAGGATGCGCTCCTCGCATCTTATGTCCAGAACGGCCTCCCTACTCACCGCGTCCAGCTCCCTCAGGTCGCATATCCTGCTGTAAATGCGAGCTCTCTCGCCTGCGAGCAGCCACCATGGAACCTGTCTCGAAATCAGGGTGGCCGCATCGAAAGAGACAGTCCTGTATGCCGCGCACACCCTTAGCGCGACTGTTCTTTGCGTCGCACGAAACAGAGCCCGGCTCTTCCTGGAGGCGCACAGCGCTTCACACCAGATTGGGGCTCCGTATAAGGCCACCGACGCTACCACATTCGCATACAACTTCCTTTTGTTTTCCCGAGGACCACGCAGGTTAGGCATTAGACGGGACAATGCCCTGGTCACTCCGGAAGCCTTGCTACACACCTGCTTAAAGTGTTCTTCAAAGGTTAACCGCGAATCAAGGATCACCCCCAGATACTTCATCCAGGGGGAGACCCTGATCAAACTGTCTCTAACCCGCAAGATGGGTTCGTGGGGAATACGGACCCCCTTCCTTCTAAAAAACACCGCTTTGGTTTTGTCTGGAGCTACTGTAAGACCAAGCGAGTCCAGTCGACGAAGCACCATAGTCACTTGGCTCTTCGCTCTCGAACGCATCACCTCGACAGACTTAGCAGTCGCGACTATCATAGTGTCGTCTGCGTAACAAAATACCGCGCATCCGTCTTTTGGCCTTGCTTCCAGAATGAAGTTGAACGCTATATTCCACAGGAGAGGGCCAAGGACGGAGCCCTGTGGAACCCCGCGCGTCATCTCCCTACGGATGGTCGAACCGTCACACGTATTGAACTCCACAGATCTTTGGTGGAGGTAACTGTCGATGATTCTTCTAAGGTGCTCCGGGAATCCCTTACGCTCCAAAGACCAGCGGATCGTCCCCCACGGGAGCGAGTTGAACGCGTTTCTGATGTCCAGACTGACAGCAATCGCCAGGCCATTTCTATCCAGGCCTTTTCTTACCGCATCGAGAACCGCATCGAGAACCGCATCGAGAGCGTCTACTGTAGAGCGGCCCTCCCTAAAACCATACTGGAAGGGCGATAAGCGTGCCCCTGCCGATTCATCCATATGTGACCTGAGCCTCGCAACTATAACCTTCTCAAAGATTTTACCGATTTCGTCCAATAAACATATGGGGCGAGCTTTCACCTGAGGACCTATGGACTCTTTAGGTATCAAGACGAGCTTAGCGTTTTTCCACTTCCGCGGGAAAATCCCCGCTCTTAAACAGGCCGTAAAGATCTGGCCAGTCTGTTGGAGGCGATGTCAGCAGTTCTCCTCCATATTGCCGCTCCAACTCCGTCCGGTCCAGGGGCAGGATTAGACTTCTTCTTGTCCTGTTTTATCGCCCGGAAGACCTCCAAAACGCTTATGTTGTCAGCGGCCATAAATCGTTCTCCGTCCCAGTTGCGCCATATTTCCTCTGGGGAATGGGTCTCCCCCTCCGGAAAGAGCGAGTCCATTAACTCCTCAAGGGCCTCGGGACTCAGAGTTTCCGAAAGGGCAGGCGAAGATCTCCGAAGACGGCCCATTACCATTTTATATGGCAGGCCCCACATATCTTCTTCTACTCCAAGTACTAGTTCTCTCCAGGCGTTGGCTTTAGAGATCCGGATCGCCTTTCTCAAGGTCCTTTTAGCTACTCGATAGGCTCTATCCACTTCTTCATCGACGTTTCCGGTCACTCTTGATCTTGTATATTTCCTACGAGCAGCAACACACACCCTCCTCGCGGTGGCCGTCTCTTCGTTCCACCAATATACTGCTCTTTTTGGCGGGCGAGTTCCAACCCTCGTGGCCGCCACATCACAGGCGTCCGAGATCCACTTTCCCACGTCGTCAGCAAGACAGTCCGGTGGCTGGTTCTCGTCAAGACCAGAGCTGAGAAGTTCGAACGTAGATGACAGAAGCTCAGCATCTAGGCCCTTCAGAGACCAGCGAGGATACAGTTTCTTAATGCTATTACTCGCGCTATGTACAATATTTACAGGACGATTATGGATCGAAAATGTGATCAACCTGTGATCCGACAATGTTTCTACGTCACGGATGACACTCCAGTTTTTAATTTTGTTCGCAGACTGAGCTGAGATCCACGTAAGGTCAACAATGGAGGATCCCTGAGGACGCACGCACGTGGGTTCGTTCCCCCTGTTACATAAGACCAAATCAAGTTGGTCGGCTAGACCAAGGAGAATCTCCCCCCTACGATCATCAACGGAGGACCCCCAATAAGCCGATTTTGAGTTAAAGTCCCCGCATATTACCACAGGGCCGCGAGCGGAGACCACCGCGTCCGACAACCTATCGATAAACTCCAAAAAGCGTCCCACGTTCACGTTCGGGGATATGTAAATCGAGATCACTTGAACACTGCCAAAGCGCGCACCAACTATGTTGTTTGAGCGATGAAATACCACACTGCCAGGTCCAGTAAGGTCGGGATTCCAGAGTATGGCTGCCGTCGAATCCGAGCTTGAGAGCCAGTGCGGGTTGTCCACGGGGATTCGCCACGGCTCCGCGAAGCAACAGATGCCCACTTTATTCTCTAAAGCGTATTGCGTCATTAAATCCTGCGACGCCCGACAGTGGTTGGCGTTAATCTGACACACCTTCAAAACCATTAACCTGCTGTTTTTGGATCCGCTCTCCGATCGCGGGGCTGTGCACTCGGGCAGTTTGTCGTGCCAAGCCTATGATCGGCGTTCAGCCCCTTCTCGCGACACACTATGCAGCACGGGTTAGACGCACATTCCCTTAGGGTATGACCCTCCTTGCCGCAATTGAAACAGGCCCCTCCTCTGTCGGTCGTTGAGCGACAGCCACCCCTCACGTGGCCAAAGTCCCAGCACCTATAGCACTGAACCGGGCGCTTCTTGAGGAAAGTTATCTTAGCCGTAGTCCATCCAACGCTGCAGGATCCCGCCGTTGCCAGGCGATTTGCCGCCCCAAGAGGGCACTGCACCCAGGCCGAGCACAAGCCGCCCGGCGATCTCCTGAATGCGCCAATCCTGATGTCTCCAGGCGTACAGCCACCAGCATCAATCAATGCCGCCCGCAGCTCGTCCGGAATGACAGAGCTATCCATCCCGCTTACTCTCAGCTCTCCCTTTGCCATGGGGCGCGTCACCACTGCATCCGAGCCGAGAAAGTCTCTCAGCTTCTCGGCCAGGGCATCAGCCTTGGCGGAGCTATCCTCGCCGGGGATTTCTATTAGGTATCCTCCATTGGCAGCCATCCTAATACGCGGCCTCACAATTCCAAGGTCCCCGATACAAATTTCTTGTCTAGCTTTCTTAAGGAGCTCCGCATGTGGCCTCCCCTCCGTCGCTGACCTGAGAGCGACCGCCGCAGATCTAGGGACGCGGCGGCGCTGAGGGCCATCCCTTTTTTGGTTATTCATTCTTGGTCCATTCGTCCGTGGGCCAGTGTGTCCGTCCTCTTTCCTTACGATCCTATTCACTACATGTGAGCGGGGGGCAGCCCCCCCAGTCAGGCTCGATCCGCCCCTTCCTTTATCCTTCTGCCGCAAGGCCACGTCCCGATACGAGACCAAGTCACGGCCATCCGACGATACGACGACCTCGGAATCCGTGTCCAGGGCCGCCCTTCTGACCCTCAGGGGGGGGCGGATTTGTACATCCCCCACAATCCTCGGGATGCCCCTCTTCCAGGGCGGCGGCGACGGCGGCGGGTCATCATTCAGAACCCTCTTTTTCAGGGCCGCAATGTCACTCTGAATATGCATCAGATTGCCGATCTCGTTGGTCAGGGTGACCTCGTAGCCCTCCAGTCTCTTGCTGATGTCCATCGCCGGTTCGCCAACGTCCGTAGAAGCGGAGGCCTCCGCCAAGACGCGGGACCTAGTCCCGTGTTTACGCGGGGCACGGGGGCCCCTCACCGCGACCGATGACCGTTCCTTCGCAGAGGCCGTCGCCACGTTGTCCTCCCTGGATGTGGACTTTGATCCAATACGCTCCCTCAGTGCACTCAACTCAGCGCTTAATTTCGAAGTGCGCTCCCGCGACTCCTCCAGTTCTTTCTTCAATTGGTCCTCCGATTTCTTGGCCTTCTTCAGCTGCTCTTCAAGTTCGTCTTTTTTCCGTTGCAGGAAGGGAACGTCGCCCGCGTCCTCCACCCTCTCGGAGAAGACCGCGATCACGTTTTGGAGAGCCTTAATTCGCTTCCCCATCTGACCCGAGAGTGTACCCTTGATATTTTGGCTTGTTTTGCGTGCGTTCTCTATTCCTCCCAGCCACGCCCTAGCCATAGACGCAATTTCCGCCGCGGAGCAGGACGCGAGTGCCTCCTCAGACTTCATCACCTGTTTTAGAACCTCCGAGCCAGGAGACCCCAGATCAGGCCTCAGCTCAGGCTCAGGCCGGGTCGAGTTTCCATCCTTTTTTTGTTTCTTCTTTTTTTGCCTTCGTTTTCGATTCTTCCGCTCCGGCGGAAAACCGTCCGCCGTGGGACACTCCTCAGATGAAAGGACGATCACCCCGCCAACGGGACAATCACCCGACCCCCCCTCGAACGGGGAGTCGTCCGATATAGCCCGCGGGCAAGCCCTCGGGCCCCTCGCAGCGGGCTCAGAATCCGACGAGGCCGCCGCCACCGAGACCGCTCCCGGTGACTCAGAGGAGTCCCTCTTCCTTTTGGCCGAGGCATCGGCCACCAACTTCATCGAGCCATCCACCACGCCGAATGAAATGCCCGGGAGGTGACCAATATCTCCAGAGGCCGCCGCCTCCTCCATCACAGACGAGGGCACGAAAAGTGGGTCCTCCTCATTAGATCCCTCGCAGCTGAGCATCTCGGCTGTACTGCCACCCTCCTCGTGAGCAGAAAGGGCCAATGCTCCACCATTATCTCCATCGCTTGTCCCCTTGTTTTTTGACGGCACGGTAAGCTCCTCGGGGTAACCAATCCCGAGAAGCCCGTCCGGGGAAACGCCGTGCCGGTTGTCGGTGTTCCGATTCACCGACTCTTTCTCTTATTCCGTGTTCATAGCCGCATAGGGGGTACACAGCACAAGAATCTCGAAAACCGGGGACAGTCCATTGCCATAAAATCGTTGCTCCTTGAATCGTAGTCCGTGGTCAGGCGGTTGTACCGAAGATTCATCCGAAAATCCAGTCAGACGCCGACACGACGTCTGGGCTGGAAGACCCCCACGTAAAATCCGGGCGAAATACACGGTCGATGTGGAGGATCCTCCCCCCGAGGGGCCTGGTGGCACCCCCGCCGCTGCGCACACAACAATGCGCAAGAAGAGCGCCAAAGGTAACAGGGCGCAGTCCAAAGAACTGGACATAGAGGGGCGTGCCAGATACAGGCGCGTGGCGTCGAGCCGGCCAGGAAGTAAATGCGTTGCAGTCCCCGGCCGGTTCAATATGGCGCATAGAAGTCCACCCCCGGTGGTTTTAGTGCGGTAGGCGTCTCCATTGCACACTGGCCTTGGGTTGTCAATTGCCCAAGTGCCAGAGAGACGAGTCCCACACACCACCCGTACCTTTCTCCAGAAGGGGCGGGTGACGGTCCATGAGGATTTCCACCGGGTCACCAAAAAAAAAAAAAAGAGTCGACGATGTAGCCGCCGACAGCGCGAGAACAGGACAAGTAACAGGGAGAGTCGAAGAAGACGAAACAGAAAATGTCGAGAACGGTCGACAACAGCAGGAGCAAGAGACACTGGTACCGAAGGCGCTGCGCGATCGAGCAACGATTCGCAAACCGAAGAGGTATGAGCTGTGTCTCGTGGAATATAACATCCCAGCGACGTACCAAGAAGCTGTATCAGGTCCAGAGGCTACTCAGTGGGCGGAAGCCATCGAGGACGAGCTCGATGCACACCGAAAGAACGGGACGTGGGAGATAGTTCCAAGGATCCCAGGTGGAAAAACCATAGACTCACGATAGGTTTTCAAAATTCTACACAACAAGGAAGGAAGCGTGGTCAGATTCAAGGCACGACTATGTGCCAGAGGCTTCATGCAGCGAGAAGGCGTGGACTATTTGGAGACGTTCTCACCAGTCGTGAGGTACGACTCTCTTCGAGTACTCCTAGCGATCATCACGGAAGAAAACCTCGAAGCAGTACAGTTCGATGTTCGAACTGCTTTTCTCCACGGACTCCTTGACGAGGACGTCAGGATGGAGATTCCAACGGGACTAGAGGTAAACGAGGGTCGAGAGAAAGTGGTGTGTCTTCTCAAGAAGGCATTGTACGGACTCAAGCAGGCACCGCGATGCTGGAATCTGAAAATCACGAGTGTTCTGAAAGGATTCAATCTGAGAGAGACTAATGCGGATAAGCGCGTATATGTTGGTACCTACGACGATTGTAAAGTGTATCTCGCGCTGTTCGTAGACGACGGAATAATTGCAGCGAAATCCGCGAATATAATCGAAAAAATTATCGGTGAGCTAAGAAAAAAATTCGAGATAACGATCGGGGACTGCAGTAGTTTCGTCGGAATGCAAATAAGTCGAGATCGCGAGTCAAGGTCGATGTTCGTTCATCAAGAGGCCTACGCGAAGAAAGTCATCGAGAGATTTGGAATGAGTCAAGCAAAAGGGGTTTCCGTGCCTGCGGATCCTCATTCAACTTTGTATCCGGTAGAGTCAAAAGCGACCGAAAGGCAAACAGTGCCGTATCGCGAGGCAATAGGATCGCTAATGTTTCTCGCGGTAGTAACACGTCCAGACATTGCATACGCAGTCAATACGATTAGCAAGTTTCGAAACAATCATAACGAGAGTCACTGGCGAGCAGTGAAGCGCATCATTGCGTATCTGGTCGAGACAGCGAACATGGGAATCAAATTTCGAGCATCGGAATCGGGAGTAGAACTCGCGGGTTATTCAGACGCGGATTTCGCGAGCGATATAGCGACCAGAAGGTCGACGACGGGCTACGCGTTTTGCATGGCAAACGGGATTGTAACGTGGTCATCTCATCGACAAAAACTCGTGTCGATGAGTTCGACAGAATCGGAGTATATCGCGGCCTCGACAGCGGTGAAGGAGGCAGTGTGGCTACGTGCGCTGTTGAGCGAGCTAGGGCACCTGCGAAACAAACCGACGAGACTATACATTGATAATCAGAGCGCGATTCGTTTAATTCATAATCCGGAATTTCACAAGCGCACGAAACACATTGATGTGAAGTTTCACCACATTCGCGAGAAAGTCGATAACGGTGAAATCAATGTAATCTTCGTGCCTACAGAGGTACAATTGGCAGATATATTCACCAAAGCGTTACCAAAGAGTAGGTTTATTGAATTATGTACGAGTCTGGGACTGTGCATTAAACGCTCTGACGGCGGAAGTGTTGAGACGATTCATCGCATTCAATGCAAGCGCCAAAACAATGGTACCTAACGTACATTAGATAAGCCGAGCGTGGCCGAACTTCTGCGAGCCACACGAGCTCTGCGAGTATCCCCGTGGGGGACGTTAGTTGCGAGCGAACCTTTGTTCAGAAAGCACGTGTGTACTTCTAATAAAGAAATCCTTTAAGCAAGACTACCATCGATTCACTCTTTACCTTAACAGGGTGGATACCAATTTGAGCAAGGAAAGAATTAAGGTTGGCGAATAGTGAGAGGCTAGGGGACTCACCTAAAACAAGCACCCCGATGGTGAGAGGCGAGGGGACTCACCTAAAACAAGCACCCCGATGGTGAGAGGCGAGGGGACTCACAATAAACAAGCACCCCAAAGGGATTATAATTTCCGTCACGTCCACGTCATTAATCCTGGGTAAAGCTAAGAACGGATAAAAAATTATCGTAGATATCTACGATAATTCGATAAACATGTTTCAGACAAAAGTTACTTTTCTTCAACGTAGCATCATTATGCAATAACACATGGGGATTTCCCTTGAAGAAAACGATTTAACCAATTTTCGCCGAATGTAGCGCCATCTATCAGGAATAGAAAAAAAGGTTTAGACAAAATTTATGGACGTAGAATTCGAATCTGCAATAAAAAGTAGGGGTTCCCATTTAAGATTTTAAAGTTGTCCCCCGCTCCACCCACAGGGGTGGGGTGGGGGGTCAATTTTGGTATCATTCGATAGCTCTTTCAAAAATAGGAAATACGTATTTTTCCGTTTTCCGATCCACCCACAATTTCTCGGGATATTCAACCTGTATATATATACAGGGTGGTCTAAAAGTCCCGGAACGGTTGAATATCCCGAGAAATTGTGGGTGGATCGGAAAACGGAAAAATACGTATTTCCTATTTTTGAAAGAGCTATCGAATGATACCAAAATTGACTCCCCACCCCCACCCCTGTGGGTGGGGCGGGGGACAACTTTAAAATCTTAAATGGAAACCCCTACTTTTTATTGAAGATTCGAATTCTACGTCCAAAAACACGTAAATTTTGTCTAAACCTTTTTTTTCGATTCTTGATAGATGGCGCTGCATTCGGCGAAAATTGGTTAAATCGTTTTCTTCAAGGGAAATCCCCATGTTTTATTGCACCTTTTTAAAAAAAGGTAAAAAAAAGCACCAAGTCTAAGCCATAGACATCTATGGACGGACCCTTTGTACGAGGGGTAACTGATAATCGCGGTAAGGGGATCACTCGTCTGACTTCGACTCTTTCCGGTGAGATTCGGTAATATTCGGTTCACATTTCCAATACGTGTGCACACGTATACAGGGTGAGTCTTTCCATATCCGACAAAATTTTTGAGAAGGTAGAA